TCCACCCAGCTGTGGAGCTCATCTCTTCAACAGATTACAGAGCAGCAGATGTGACAGATGTGCTAAACTAATTTGTGATAATGAAAAGATTAATGATTTAAAAAAACAAACTCTCCTCTTTGTCATGTTACCTCAGAACATCATAACCTGATGACCTCATTGCTCCTTTATGTCACTTCCTGTTGCTCCATACGAGAGACGGTGACTCAGGTCAGACCACACTGCAAAAGCTAAAATCTAAGTCTATTTTTAAAAAATATGTTGATTTCACCTTATTTTCAGCAGGTAGATGAAACAATTCACAAAATAAAAAGATGATTTTTGTTTAAAAAAAGAAAAAAACGTTATTATCTTATTTCTGATGCAAAATATTGCTTGATCTTATTTCAAGTGTGAGAATCCGGATTCCATCATTAGATCTCAAATTAAGAGAAAATATATTTAAAGGTACAGAGGATGGTCTTTTATTTCCGGGTGGATCATCTCAATAAGTGATCCTCCTAATTATCAATCATTCTGGTGATGTTTACGTAGATCCGTCCTACGTGCCCGTCACGTTAGCTGTCTTTTTCTGCGCATGCACACTTTCAGACGAATATCTGTTGGGAAGCTACGGTTTCAGACAGTCATTGAAGCTCACCTTTCTCACCACGGTTCTTTAAAAAGGGCCGAGGGTCATTCGAAAAAAATATCTAAGCAAATGAAAAGAAAAGAAAGGCCTCAGAATAAATCCCGGAATGCTTTGCACTGAGAACTCTCCTTGCAAAGCATTATGGGATTTTCTGCCACAGTGGTCCACTGTTGCCATTGGCTGTTGCTACCCGACATTGGTGACTAATAACAAAGATGGCGCAGTGAAGGAGGAGTTAAATGACAGCAAAAAGCATTGATCATCTGTCAAAACAGACAGTTAACAGAGTTCACTATAAAGTCAACTATATAGTCCCTGCTGTATGAGAACAGCACATTTTAAACAGGGCGTGCATGAGGAGAAATGGGCTCGTGCACGCTCTCGCATGCACATTTTCTTTTAAAGTGGTGAGTCTCTTAAAAAATCCTCCACAATAACCTTAATTCTAAGGGATTTCTATTAGCTTTCATAATAATTTTTTGCAGCTTTACGCCTTTTGAGGCTCCACCCCTTCCATCTGCTTCCATGGTGACACGCTCTGATTAATATAGACCCACGTCCTCCTTGTATCTATGGTTTCTGACCAAACATGTCGGCCCCCTGTGAAAGTCTCTCTTCTTTGAGGAGTCCACCCGAACCTGAACCTGTCGGACCCAGCGGCCCCTCACACCGCCTTCCTTTGAATGATAGTTGATCAGTTCCAATGGATCCTTATTTCATCCCTTACATCTCTGTCAGTAATGGCGACCTGCAGGACGCCATGTTGTGAATAGCATCAGATCTTGGTCTTTCTTCCTTCAAATACCTCTGACAGTTTCAGTTAAAGGAGGAATCTTTGTGGACGGGATCCTAAATTCTGCTGTGTTCTGTGCCGGTGTTCTGTCAGGTCAGCATACCCCGTCAGGTCAGCATACCCATAGCCAATACGCATGCGCAAGACGTCAGAATGGCGTTTATCCCTTTGGTTTTCTACGAAAAATGGACTTTAAACTACCTCGACGGGCATGTATCCCTTTAGTCATGTACAAAAAAAAAACTATTCAAGGTCAGATCGCCATACGCTTAAAAAAAAAACCAAAAATACGTAATTTAATAGTTTTTTTGTACATGACCAAAGGGATACACGCCCGTTGGGGTAGTTTAAAGTTTATTTTTCATACAAAATTAAAGGGATAAACTGAAGGAATAAACAGGGATAAACTGAAGGGATAAACAGGTAGTGACTATGGGTATGCTGGTCTGACCGGTATATGCTCATCTGACAAAATACCAGGAACAGATGAGGACGGATGGTTGTCCAGCAGCTGTACACTCCTCTTCCTCATCCAGGTCCCCAGAATGTAGTTTTCCTTTATCTTCGTCTTCCCTTAGAGGCCATGATCTGAACCCAAACCATGATCCAGCTTCCTTCCATCAGAGAGCCTGGCTGCAATAACTGCTTGATGACGCTTCATTCTTCCAGCAAACATCTGGAGCATCTGACAGCTGCTCCCACTGCAGGCGGAAAGCAGCCAGTTAAACCAGTAACTGATCATTTGATCCTGTTTCTGATGTGCAATTGATGTTTGAAGGGATCAGAGATTTTTTCCTGCTGCATCCTGTAGTTTGTTTTATTTCTGATAATGATGAGGGCTTTTCTGGGTCCTGGTGAACACACAGTGGTGAAGTTCTGAGTGAGCGTCTTCCTCCTGCTGGGATGAAAGAGGAGGCTGGAGATGAACAATCAGCTCTTTTCTGAAACACCTCCGTCCATCTGTTCCATCAGAGGAGAGCCTCTGCTGCAGCCTTCCTGACATTAATGTCTCCCAGCATGCCATCTGCTCCCTCAGGGCTCCATGGAGACAGACCCTCTGCTGATGAGGACAGTGTGATGCTGGGTGTAGATGGGATGAAGTCACACTTTGTTTCAGTTTGATGGGGCTGATGGTTCAGTTACAGGGGCAGGATAGGAAGGAGCCACCGTGTCTAAAGCTGGAGTTCCTTCTCTGCCCTGAAGGTCAACTTGTTCTGTTACTGACTCAGATTGGACCAAGCTTTAGCTGTTGGACAAATGGACTCACATTTACCTCCTTCATCCCATTCCAAACAGCCCTACAGGGTCATGACCTTTAACTTCTAGAGCCCCAGTGAGTTTCACTTTCTTTCCTTCATAGGCTCGTTCCTGAAAGCTTCCATACTTTAACATAGACATATGTAATATCCACAGATATATCAGAATCTTGGCTTAAAGCTAAAATAAACTATTCATTTAAACATTAAACACAGGCAAATACAGTTGAATACATTTTTTTTGTAAATCACAAAAGAAAGAGGCTCTCCAGGTCGCTGCAAACCCAACGACCAGCACATCTGCTCCAAGCAGAGATCTCTCAGGGTCCAAATGTACAAGTTTCACCTCAATCTAGCAAAGATTTACTGATTCAGAACCACAAAAATATCAGAATAGTCACCATTGTTTGAAAAGTAGAATGACTTAAAGCTGAACTTTTCGGAAGTAAAAACTGAAGAAACCTCTACTTTTGTAGGTCATGTTAAAGGAAAATTCCGGTCATATTTAGAATACAAACTTCTGAAAGTACTTTAATAAGGAAATTATTACATACTGTTCAATAAATTATAAGAATAAATAGTAATTAAGAGTAATTTTCGTTTGAATGTGCTTTACTGGAGGCATCCATGTTTGTCAAAGAACACTACTGCCACCTACTGGTTTGTGACGTCACGGTGCGGTATC